TTCAGTTCATTAATGTAGAATTAGTACTTCCGAGAATTAACTTTTGGGGAGAAATCAAGCGATACTCAGAGGCTTAGGTTTCTGTGAATCATTTCAAGCCACAGTGAACGCGTGTCAACATTTTGTTTAAAAGCGTCATCATATCAGCAGCAATCAGCCATTGCCTTTATACATAAGAGACGTCTGTGATGTGATAAAGCGCTATATCAAATGCAAGGATTATTATTATTGCAGATTCAAAACCCAAACTGTGCAAAATGTATCCAGACTGCTGCAGAATGGGATAGTCACACAATTATTTTGCTAACAAAATGAATGCACGAGATTAGATGCTGAGCTCCAGGGAACCACAGAAGCTGGGAACGCTTGGGAATATTGATTGAGGAGTGAACTTACTGAAGTCTTCTCACTCCTGGTGGCCAGAGATAAGCTGGACACCAATCACTAATCCCTTGAATCCAGTCAAAAGGTCCACAACAAAGAGATCATGGCCGTAAACTGAGACGTGTTTTGTGTAGGTGTGTGGGGGCGGCCGGGGTGGGGTGGGGTTCAACAGTCGCTTAGATTTGATCACTTTTTGCAGAGGTTCATTAACTTACAGGACAGTTGGTACCAATAATAAACATTTATACAGCGCCTTTAATGTCGTGCAGGCTGCCTAGTGATTAGCGGATTCACCTCGTGAGGTGAAACCAGAGGCAGCCTCGCTTACTCTACACACCTCTGTTTACCGAGAAGCAAGCAGGAACCCAGTTGGTCAATTAGTGGATCACTTTCCAGGAGTAATAATTCCTCCCTGCTCAAGAAGAGCACACACACACACACACACACACACACGCCACAAAAGTCTTTAAAGTTGTCATCCGGATTTTAATCCTCCCCATCTTTCACCATCATGGGCTCATGGAGTACAGTGGGGTCTGGGGGAGAGAATCTGGTCAGATCCAGGCCACGATTAATAAAACTTTGACAGCGTTAAGCAGCTTCTTAAAGGTGGCCTTGAAACCCTTTTGAGTAAAACCTCTCCCAACACCTGCCCTCAAAACACTCTTCACTTTTCCCCGGTACAGCTACGTACGGGTTGGACTTTAGATATAGAAACTCAACCTTTTGTCTCAGCAAATTAACAGAAACAAGCTGAAAGACAAATCGGCAATTTATCCTCAGAATTTCTCAGGACCTTAAAGCGGGGGCAATATTGGTGGCAAATTGCTGCGGTACATAATTGGGATTATTGCATGCGTGCTTCTTCCTTTGCTCAGCTTTTGATTTGATACTCATGCATCATTCACAGGGAAGCAGCAATTTGTTAAGATGCGTAATGACTGGAATAGCGAGGGGCTCATCTGGCCATTATTCAGGATCAACGGGCTTCGAAATTGAAATGAGCCATTAAAGCTGATTTAACTGCTGTGTATTAAATATACATTCTGAAGCAGTGATATCTAACCCACCATGTCACACATGGTGTGCTGCACAGAACCTTTCAGTCCACGTTAACGCTAGCCTTCAGTAAGCCCATAAGCACGTTAGGGTGGGTAAATGGATCTCAATGGTACATCGTGTGCAATGTAGAGCTCTGGAGGGAATGAGGGGAAGGAGGGTGGGAGTAAGCATTTGAGATTGAAGTTAACCAAATGCTTATACAGTACCTGGGCAGCTCTGCGAACAAGAGCATTACTGGCTCATCTCTAGTCCTGGTTTTTAACCTTTCTCCCAATGAGATCAGCGCTGTTCCCCCTTGCGAAGGACCAGCTCTGCTTGCTAGTCTTGATTTAATGTTCGTGGTGGGGAAAAAAAAGTTCAGTCGCACGTGTGTCAGCCTGACTCAAGTCTCGTCTCCGAGTGAGAAGGTTGTGGGTTCAAAACACCACATCAGGACTTGAACACATAGTCCAATCAATGCAGTGCTGGGGCTGTTGCGTTGTCACAGAGCATGGCACTATTCGAAAAGAGGAGGGAGTTTCTTCTGGTGTTTCGGTCAACAATTCCCCCAAAATCAGTCATTCCAATGTCTTGGCTTTTTGTGAGATATTGCAGTGTGCAAATTGGTCATCATGTTCACCCCAAACAAGTCACTTCACAGAACCTCACTAATCCGGTCATTCAAATGACTGGGCAAAAGCGACCTACTTAGTGAGGTGACCTGATGACTGAAACAGGTCGGGTGATTCAGGTCGCTGATGTAATGTTAAGGGCATTGGTAATGGGCGAGGGCGATACACACTCAACAACCATACATGGCGATCTCATTAAAAACAAAGGCATCGTCACATTCGATACAAAAGCTGTCATGTCGTCAGCCTACATTTTGAGAATGAATCCAACTTGTGTTCAGCCAATGCCATAGATCACTGCTGACGTCTATGACTTTTGCTCTTACTTGTTTTTGATCCGACTCCACTCTCTCACGGAAGGACAACTCAGGTTAGGCCGCGGGAGGCCGGCCGAAGTCGATTTCCCGCTCTCGCCGCTTCCGCCATCCCAACACTCCCCCGCCCTGCGCATGCGCGACCGGAATCCACTCAGCCCATAGTAGCAGCGTCGAGGAAACAGCGCGAGAAACCCCAGGCCTAGCGCACTGTGTACTGTACAGGTTAGTGGCTGAGGGGGGGGGTGTTCGTGCCGAGTTTGTAACGGGGAGGGCATTGTAGCGGCTGCAACCAATGACCGTTGTCCTGAATAGTGAGGTGCCCGTTTACTGAAGCAGACGGTCTATCTTTTAACATCGGCAATGAAAAGAGACCGAAAATGTGCCCGCAATTGTGAGGTGGTTGGATGACTGAGGTGACCGCAAACCGGGTTTCTAGTGTATATCCTGTGAAGCGCTCTACAGGCATGATAGGCGCAATACCAAATGCGAGGATTATTATTAGTAAGTTGTCATTGCTTGTGCATATGGAGGTGGGCCAGGATTCAGCAGCTTTTGATTTTTGTAACAAAAAAGCTAGACTGTTGACGACCTGCGAATTGGGAGCTACACATTGGGCACTGGGTCCAAAGATTCTATTGCCTACCACAGCCATCACTTTGATGAGCACAAAATTCTCCAACATATACACAATGATCTAAATTGGCATTCAACACAGCATTGAGTGTTCGCATTCAGGCAGAATCACAGTTTACAGACACACAGGCTAATTAGGCAGCATCTGAGTCATACACACAGCAAAATTAACCACTGCCAGTCTAAATCATTGATGACAGTTTCTCAGGGGTGACAGAGCCCCATGACAATTAGATGCTGCCTTTCCCCAAGAAAGACCATCAACTCCGAAACCAGTTATAAATGGTCCAGTGTACAACATCATTTCGTCAGGCACCTCACAACAGTTTCTTCGGGTTTGACAGCCAGGTAAATGCTTTGGTGGGGGAAAAAAAAACTGTGCGTAGTGTTAATATAACGGAACTAATCAGATGCCACTTGAAATAGAGACCACAAAACAGTTATGCAAAGAAAATTAGATGATCATTCAATGTTTAACTGAAGGTGGTTATTGCCAAAACACGCACATAATTCATTATGTATGAAAAGGTACATGGGAGGGAAATTGCATTTCATTCTTTCCATCGGGGCTATAAACATATCAATCTAATACTGAACCACTCACTGAATTTGCACCTCGGGATTGGCTACAGATCTCAAAAGGTCAAATGTTGCTGAAGAGGTCCAACTTATAAACTTTATAAAGCATGGAATGCCTCTCGCCACCTCCAATTCAATCTTATTCTTTCTCCACCGGTTTCCAAGTGAGTGTTTGCTGATAAATTGCCGTTCGTTGCCACAAAACCAATATTAACAACTTGTTCCAATTATGAGGATCGTGAAGTTGTTTGACTTTGCTCGATAAGCAGGGTAAGCAGATGTCAATTGCACTCGCGTTTACAGATTGGATTCAAGCCCTAACTCTGCCAAAATTCAACATCTGTTTGTGGAATTGAAACACTTGTCATTTTCAAATTGGTCACCGGCTTGCGACAACCCTTACTGTAATTAATGGGATGTTACTGTTTGCAAACCGCTTACCTTTTGATTTCAAATATAGAAGACACTACTTTACAGTAAAATTTCAAAGTCTTTACGTGATAAGGCGCCATGTCAAATTTTTAAAAATCCCCAAACCCGGGACATCATTTTCTTGAAAACAAACCGACCCTGGGTCAGTTACTTGCGCTTGAAAATCTGTTCAGTTTAACGACGGGGTGAGAATCATTCAATTTGAAGCTTGGTTTACCTGTGAGGCAGACAGTGCTCACGATACTTAGTGGTATTTGATAAGTGTTCAGACCTCAACACAGCCCAATGTATTTTGCAAAGTATGTAACTCATCCAAGGCAATCTATGAACAGCATAAGGTAGTTTGCACAGAATAAGTTCAACAATTAGTACTTCGGCAATTTATATGGGAAGTTGTCTCATTGTAGCTTCACAGTGCACAGACAGCCCGGACGACCAATATAACAGCACATGTGTGAGGAAGCAATTCCCCGTCTTTAAATGTACAACTCTAGCTTCTATTTGTGCCGTTGCTTGCTCGATCCCCTCCATTCCATGCTACTGAACATTTGCATTGACTTATTGGCTTACCTCAGCAATCTCCCTCCTGACAGGTGCAGTGATAACCAGCAACAGAGCAAAGGACTGTAATCAATGAGGAGGAAAACTGTGGTTAAATGAAACAGGAGCCTTAAACAAGAGATTCTTAAATGCCATGAGAAAGTCCACTTTGCAGAAGGATTCACAAGGGCAAGTAATCACAAAGGGCAAGAATGGAACATTTAGGTTGGCTAGGAAAGAAATGGATGACTTGAGTGAAAAAGGTTCCAAATTTAGTCATTTATTTATTACAATACTATGCAACTAGCTACAGAAAATAAAAAAAATCAGCTGATCTTGTCCCCTTTAGACTGTTTGCAAAAAAATTGCAGTACTTAATGGACCTCAGAAAACGATTCAATTGCAACTTTTTTTTAAAAATATACCTCATACACTTTTGAGATCTCCTTTGATATTTATTGCACAACATTGTGTAAAAAGCAGTCATTTCCACATTGTCCTGGAATATAGGACACAAGTTACCTGTACAGTCAACTAGTTAATCTACCGCTAATGATCCAAAAATTTGCATCATAAAAAAATATTGGTTTTAAGCTGGTGACTTGATGTAGACAGACATTCCAGTTTGAACAGTCATTTTATTGCACGCATACAGTATCTCCTTTGGGTAGGAAGTTACATACAAGTGAATTCTGAATTTTAGCTATAAATACTAATTAATATATACACATTTCCAAACAACATCACTTTATGCATCAAAGTTGCAGGCAGAAACTCACTACACTGTCTGCTATTCCTTTAAATTCTAGACATTTTAATGCACTCTGTGAAATCTTCAGTGTTGAATTTGTCTCTCCACCCCATCTTACATAATATAATACAGGCTAAAGTGTGTACAAAATACTCGGGGGTTTTACAAGCTAATTTACAGCAGATTACACACTGAGTAGTCCCAAGGATTAGTTTATTAGCAAACAGTCCTCAATTTCTCTGCCCCCCCCCCCTCCCCCATAGAACCAAACTTGGTTACACACTGAACTAGTCAGTGCAATTGATTCCCCCCTGCCCCCCTCCCCCTTATCATTGCTCGTGTGCCTCTGCAAACAAATACCTTCTAAATTGGTTAAAAGAAGAGAGGTCAGGTCTGACATTAGTACACAGACAAAGTGCTGTAGCTGGTAGGCAATAGACAAGACTGGACAGGAATCTCAAAAGAAATGTTACGTTGTTCCCGACACTGAAAGGGATGGTACACCTCATCCTCCAAGGTCCACATCATTACCAAAAGCTGTTGCTTGTTTTATAGCGCAGTGCAAGTCAGTCAACAAGACAATACAGCACATAATTGGAGCAGCTTCCAGTGCGTTTATTTTGTGCGTGTGTGTGTAACCGGTCGGTTTATTTTGAGGGCAATTCGCGCGCTCTTCAAAAATAGGTGTTAAGACCAGTGAACCAGGTGGTCCATTTGTCGGTAAGGGTTAAAACAGACTAATCAGCAGTTAGTAGATTTGTACTATAATGTTTATTAAAATAAATGCAAGGGTTAATAGAAACAGCAACACCATGAAATAAAACGCAAGCATGTAAAAACATTTGTAACAAGAAAACTTATTAAATGGATAATGAGTTAACAAGTCAGAAAAGGCAACACTCTCAATGATATTATTTTGAATCTGCAATGTTTTCTGGCTATCAAAACTGCAGGGACCTCAATTCAGAAACAAGTTGTAAATGGCATAGAATATACATACAAAAATGAAGATAGAAAAATACATTATAAACTTGTAACAACGGTGGTAATCATATTATCATACATGTGTAGGCAATATGTAAAATATTGTACACAGCATATGTAATTTCTTTTGCAACCAACCATTCTGTAACAGCAGTGTCTTAAGAGCGATATGTATATATATATGTATGCTCTGAATGTAACTGAGGGTACAATAATACTGTCAAGGAATCGATTTCAATGTTCAGAATTTTCAACAAAGTAACACTGACAAAACATTGAGTTTATGAATAGTGTGTATATGTATATATATATAATTATATATAAACTCAATGGCTCGACAAAAAAAAAACCTGAAGGGCAGCAAGTAAAAATATTTTTTTTTTAAAAAAAGATCATAATTTCAAATTGTTCTGATGCTTTTTTTTTGTTCTCAAGCCAAACACTGCAGCATTGTAGTCGTTTAGTGATAACAGCTGGTCTGTTGCCTTATTAATCAATTTAGCGAAAACCAAGCCAAGCTGGCCTTAATTTCGCAAGTGGCCATTACAAAACATTATTCTTTTGTTTGCTCAAAAGGCTTCACTTTTTATCAATAAAAATGGCACTATGAGAAAAAAAAATTAAGGGTATATAAGAAACAAATCAGGAAGACACAGATGGTGGCACAAGATACAAGCTACTTAAAAATCTTCCTCATGTGAAAGGCGCTATACAAATGTCATTTTGTATATTATATGTGTTGCATAGAACCAATGAACTGAATTCTTCAGATAGGGCAGACAGTGTAAATATTACTAGAAGCTTTACACACATCTGTCCTCATACTATTCTACCTTCGTGAACACTTTTTTTTGCCAATGCTCTGTCCTTACCCCACTTAGATGATGGGCTGGCAAGCATCAGAATTAATTCAGCAAACCATATATGTTGACTATTACAAAATGACCAGGCGTGTATATAAGGCACTTTTATCTTTCTTTATACTTAGCTCATTCCTCACCCACAACCCCATCAAACCCTAGATACTGTTTTGGTCTTTAGTTTCTTACACAACCGTCCAGAATCACTTTCAATTCTTTTTTGTGTTTTTTGAAAAAATTTGTTACTGCAAGTAAGTATAAAAAGCTAAGTTGTCAAAAATATATATTTCTTCACCAGCACCCTGTAAAAGTATCTAGTTTTCCTCTGTAGTTTAAATGCGCTATACTTATCTACACTTTTATAACATGTATATAGCAAATAGAATAGGCAAGCATGGCTTTCACATCCTTCTGAAGTATTTACGAATAGGAGAAAATTAAACAGACCGTTTTTGCATCCAGAACAATGACACATTATGAATATACCTCAGTCAAGGTGTGCTTAGATGGTTCTCTTCAGTGAATCAAGCTCAGATGCTCAAACAAACTAGCATATTACATAAATGTAGGAAGCCCAGACTAAATAGCACAAATAAACTTGGAAAAATATGCCAGGCACCTTTGAACTATTGCGTATATGTAAATTACTAGGTAACGAGAGATGCTTCAATGGTGAAAAAGTAATATGTGACCTCTTGAGGTACATGTTTGAAAAGATCAATGTTTCGGTGCATCTGGATGGTCTAGTACATTGGCAGTAGATCTCTGAACTTCCATTCAGTGACTGTTTCAACCCCCAATTTTGAAGAACATCTCAACTTGCCTAAACATTTTCGAGGCAGTGAGGGTTTAATCGCTGGTCTTAAGCTGGAAACTAACTTGAACCCTTATCTGTGGCACTTACCATACCTAATGGCATGTCCATTAACAGAAATATATCCACGGCAGCTGTGAACAGGAAACCATCCCAGACTCCTGCCTCCCTGACAGAAAGACATGGAGGGAAGGCTATGCTTTAATACAACCCCCTGTTCACCACGCCCCAAATCAAGTTGCATTCCCCAATTTTCATTGCTTCATTTTTCTATGTTTCTCAGTTATCATGACCCAGAAATTTTGTTCAGTGTATAGTAATACTAAACGGCATTCTTGTCCTGATGCAACTCAAATAACAGTCAGAAATGAATTTCACAAATTGTCCCTACAAAAAAAACCTAAGGTACTGTACACAAGATTGTTTAAATCTTTTTGTTCCGGACCACAGAGGTTAATATTACTTTGTAATGATGGTGTTGAACTCTTCCCCAATAAACTTGACCCAAGGTTCATCCATAATGTATCATAACAAATGCATTCAAAGATTTTGTAACTACAACGTAAATTAAATCAGATTTCCATCACAAATGTCCTTGGCAACCTCCTGTACAGAGCTCAATCCCGTCAGTATTGTTAATGAGATCTTTCTTACCATTAATTGGCCAGAATCTTTAAGAGACGATCACTGAGGAACAGTGGTGAGGGATGAACTGGACTTATTGCTTTAGTATTATTCAGTGCAGGTTCTGGCACCACACATTCACCCAACCAGAAAAGCGGTGGCTGGAACTTTTTTTTAAAAAACGCTGTTAGGTAACAAGACGAACAGACAGTGCCGCAGCTTGCTGCATTGAGACAGGCAAGCGTAGGCGATAACCAGTTAACTGATCAGCAGGCAGGCATGGTCAGGTCATCATTGGGCGAAGAGTTCAGAGGTCAAAGTCATGGGTTAGTTGCCTGTGGCAGCTGGTAGTTAGAAACAAGAAAAAAAGATAGAAAAAAGATATTAGTGTCAGCTAGCGAAGACTGGATGACATCATGAAAACTAATCATATAAATAATAAAAACGAGCATTTTTTATTGATAAAAGATTTACAGAATGTGGTCAATCATGACATCTAAAGTGCCATGATCTGAACATGAATGCATGTCAAACTTCCACAAAATGGGACAGATATACACAAAACTAATGGTTAATATCAAGGCTGGGAAGAATTTCCATACAGTACCCGTCCAGGACCAGCATAACGTTAAGACAGGTCGGTCCATCAAAAGACACTAATGGCCACAGCTTTTGACAATGAAACCCAAACAGCAAATACTAATGCAAATAGATGGTTTTACTTTATACATAACCCTCTATCTTTGACATTCCCCTTCATCCGCTCTTGCCCCCGCCTCATACCACATCCTTCCATGCAGCATTACACTCTTCAGTGCTCGCCAAGAACACCTGTGATTCCCCCTTCCAGAAGGCCACCAACACCATAATGACGTCTTCCCGACGTGAAAGGCACTATACAAATGTAATTTTGTTGTTTCATACAAATGGAATGACTTGAGACTCAAAATCCCTTTGGAAATGCTGGGAATTTGAGGAATCTGAACATTCGATAACCGTTTTGAGAGCCTCCCCAGCCACCCGCCCACATTCTTTCCACAAGAGACACAAGCCTGTCTATTATGTCTCTTGCATCAACATCAGCTAGATGCCGTGCTGCGTCGTCAAAAGTAAATAAGTATCACAGTCTCAGGGAACACAAGTGTTCAATTCTGGTTAATAACTAGAAGCCTGTAACATTACATACTGAGTATTGTTGAGATGGTGATCCTTTGGCCTCGTAAAATTTGAAAGGAGGTTGTGGTCCTGCCAGATTTTTGTAGGGTCCAGGACCCAGGACAACTGGATTCATCCAGCCCTGAAGCTCTAAAAAAAAAGTTTTGGGTGAGGAGGGGGGGAAAAAACAGCAAGAGAGTTCAAAATACTTTCCTATTAGTTGACTGCTATTAAACATTAGCATTTAACTGCAGGAAAATGCAAGAGCAAGGTTACATTTTTACTTTTGATCAAAAGTGTTAGAAAAACATTTGGCCTTCAAAAATCTTTTATTGCTATTATACAGTAGTGTATCGATGCTACATTAATACAACATTCAATTCTAGGGCTAACTGGCTACTTCATGGATTAATTGGCAGAAGGCCAAGTATTAATCAGACGCCAGCAAAAAGGCTAAATAAAATTGTCAGCAACTCCACACAACTCGTCATTTCACTGTACATGACAAGATGCTAAGATGTAAACAAATCTTAAATAACATAGCACTGCATTCAAATACAGAGTACAATGCTGATAAGGTTGATCCCATTTTGTATACGGTTTAAAAAACACATTCCCAAAGACTAGACAGATAAAGTAAATCACTTTTTAATTGCCCCAAGCATTATTATACTGCAGACACATATACAGCTACAAATGTGCATTAGATACATAAACCTGGAATTTAGAATACAGACTTTACACAATTTACAATAACTCCAGTTCAATTTCTACTCAAAATAGGGATTTTTTTTCCATCGGTAAATAGGAAATAATTATTTGTCCCCTTCCCTCCCCACACCCCACCATTGTTGTGAAGGTGAGCTTCATAATAAAAGAATCTAATTTGGCAAAGAGTTAAAATGTCAATGATTTAATTTACCCGGGGCAAATTGAGACATCTGGACCACTGTTACTTTAAGACTTAACTCGGATTGAAAAACATTCCACAGAGACAAAAGTAGTGCAATTTATGAAATTTTAAACACCTGAGGTTACAACCAGTCAAACAGGTTTCTGAATTTATAACAGTTTGAATTAAGATTCAGTCAGTGCTGTATCAAGCAGATTTCCAGATGAAGATTGCAAATCTTTCCTCGACAGACCCAATTTACAGCAAGTTTAAATAGCATTTACTCCAAACTATTTTAAATGAGATGGATGCCTTGCTGAACTTGTTTACAACAGCATTGTGGTATTGCCCTGGGTGCGATTGCAACTGATCCGCAATACTCCCACCAGAGAATAGTGCCATTAAGAGGTTTGTATTCCCCCTTAAAAAAAAGGCGAGAATTTCAGGAGGGGAAATAAAATCTGTTTTGTTTCAATATTAAGTTGAGATGAATACCTGTAAGCGTTTTAGCAGCTTGATAAAACTGAACTCCTGGAGCATAACCCAGCAAGTGTTTGCAGATAAACCTGCACGGTGCATGTGGCCAACTGTACATGATAATGTTGCATAGTGACAAATGGAAGTACAAAGCAAGTATCCAAATCAGAGAATTCCAATTACATACAAGGTTATCTGATTTCCATTTGCCTGTCCTCACTTGTGTATACTGATCAGGTTACCCGTAGCATATTTAGGAAATGGCAAAAGCATTTATTATTCAGTGATTTGTGCAATAGTATTCTTCGCTGGTTATGAGTTTTGTAGCAGTAGTTGTTATAGTGCGTCATTTCATGCATTACACAGAGCACAACCTGCACTTACAAAGCCACAGTTTTCATATCAAACAAAGTAAATGCCATTTTGGCTATAAAACTAAACTAACCTCTGTCTGCGGTCACAATCCTTTGGTAAGGATGGACACGCGAATCATGCCTCCGAACTTTAGTTGCCATCGCACCTAGTTAAATTGCAAGCCCAAAGAGGATTAGAATTTCACTTAAAAAGAAAATTAGAAACTCAAAATGGGTGAAGTACACAACTTTAACACCATATAAGCACAATGACTGATAAGTTATGCAAAAGACAGTTTAAATTTAGGTAGTTTCCAAATAAATTGCTTTACTAACTGCTTAGCTCACAGTATTATGTGCTGGGGCTCATTTAAAGTGCAGAAGCCACATTAACCGAGCAAAAGTTATGCCTTTTTCAACCCACGTTGAATATTTGAGCAATATGATAAAGGGTGCTTTTACCACTATACATACTCCAGTTATTTCCTTTTTTAAAAAAAAACAGGGTATTTAACCAATATGAGCTGCACTGTCGAAAAGCAACATTTCCCATGTTACAGCTTTAGTATTCCAAGATGCAAGATTTGATCAAGAGATGATTCAATCAGCAAGTGTGCATTCTCTTAATTTAAATAACTAAACCCCAATTTACAGGACAATTTACAATTTTTCAAACAATCAGCAGTAAAAATTATCCCAAATCCATTCAGCTTCTATTCTTCACTGACATTAAAAAAATTCTATTTATCCCCTTTTCCAACCTCCCTCCTGCAAAATAAGTTTGCAATTAAAATCTACACTCCCGGGTTAAAAATTAAAACAAGAAAATTTATAGTTGCATTTTTTTGGCTAATACAAGGCTCAGGAGAGTAATGCAATATGCTGCTGTTAATGTTCAATGGTGGTTTGCCTGACTGCAACACCACTGCATTTACGGGGAGTGTGCTATTCTGGTACAAATGATTTACATGCAACTGATAAATATAGCTCGCATTTGACAAAGGGATTCTGCAAATTCTTTCCAAACACAGGGCGAGTACAGGACTCAGCTCTGCAAACTGGGTCCTGAATCCTTTGTGAAATCTAGTTATTGCAGTCCTAGTCCCAACCCAAGTACAAGTTCCGTGAGATTAGGGAAGCCCAGCACCACAAATAGTTATTCACTTATTTTACTCTGTACTGCACATTGTTAATTAAGTTAGCACCAGTAAATGTTCAAGGAGAAAAACTGTGGGCATATTTTACATGTAGTGCAGGAGAGAAATCTGGAACCACAGTAAAACCCATCAGCATCCACTGATAAGCAGTTAGTAAAAAAAGAGTACAAAAAACAATGAGCCTTGCACCAAGCAAAGATTGAAACACTGCAGATTTGGATCATGAGTGCCAGTTTGGCAAGTGTCAGTGTGTTACAAGGGTTGATCAGTGGTTAGTGTGCACGTGTGATAAAGATCAGATTTTGGATACCTCTTGCTCTGTTATCCCAGATAAAAGAAATTTACTGAGTGAGCAGCATTTGCCACTTGATTGTACCAATAGAAAAGGGGTCAGGATCAGCATTCCCAGTTTTATATTGGTTTTCTTAAGACTAAGAAACAGTAAACTTTGGGGGGGGGGGGGGGGAGAAAAGGATCTTTACCCAATTAACAGGAATGAAGATAATACTAACTTAAGTATTGATCCAGACAGACAACCCTGCAAGCATTAGACCAAGCATTTGTACTCTAATAGCAACGATCTTCTCTTGAACTACCAGGTTAGAGGTTAATCTGATCCACCAAAGTCTTTGTATAAACAAATGCTTCTACTAAGGCTGACTCACTACATCAAAGCTACAATTGCAAGAGTAAAACCTGAACCAAGATTGGACAGTTTAGAATTTTTGCTCATGTTTACAGGAAAGCACCACTTTCCAATAAGGTCCAGATTTTTTTTATTCCTTTGTATGCCCAGATCAAGAGCAGCTAATGCAGCTCAGAGCTTCCTCTGAACTTAAAGCAATGCATCTGAACTGCAAGCTTGAAAGAAAATTAACAAGTCACCAGGACAAATTCGTTCTCCAAATCGGTTAACCTGTCATCCTCAGCATAACTGAATACGGGTACTTTGTATTGGAAATAGGACAGGAACTGCATGCTTAAAAATCAATTAGGTTCCCCAAAGGCAAAAAAGTGTAGCAGCTTTCATCATGTCTGTTTGTTTTGGGAGTTCAGATTCTAAGAGTTGATGGGATCTAAATGGATATAATCCAGTACACCACCCATTCTTGTAATTTTACCATTTTCATGTCGAAATTCTAATGCAGCCCTGGGGTCAAATTAGAAATCAAAAGCACTCATTAGAAATGCCTTGTGAGAAGCAATTCTGAACAAGAATACAAAGGGACTCAAAAGGCACTGTATAGAAATATAATGAGATTCTGTTGCACCGATGGAAATCTCACTTCCTTTGTGGGAAGGCTGATAAACCCCTTTATTCTGGTACTTTTTTAAAAAATCGTCACCATACACATCTTGCTGCTCCAAATAGTGGTTTGATGCGATATGTAATGTGGCATTCATCCAATCAGGTCTTCAGTGTGTTCATTTTTCAACATCTCTATTAAGGAACACTCACCACAATAGAAAGTGCTTTGGGTACTTTGATCACTGACTATGTCCTTTAAGTCTTAGATATGTGGTGTGGTAAAGCCTGCCAAATACTGAACACCCTGAACCCAATATAACCAACGTTACACTGCTCGTGTTTCAATGTGCTTGGTCAAGCTCTTCACTTCTTCTGAAGTTATTTTTTCCTGAGGATTCAGAAATATGTCCCATGCATTCTTAGCCTTTTGTTGGAAAAGCCATACCTAAGAACAAACCATCAAGATAAGATAGTTAGCCAGTGGTTCCCATCATTAGATGGACAATCCAGCAGATAAAGACAATACATTGTGTTCATTCTTTGATTCTCACAGAACTGCAAAAAAAATCTTCTGTTGCAATCTATAAACAAATATCCTACCACCCAACCATGCTTACCACACACAGGAAGGCGATCCTCATTCATTCTTATCCTATGCTTGCCTTGGTGCTAATCCCAAGGACACAGCAAAGATCAGAACATTAAAAGTCTAGTTTAAAAAGGCAATGTTATTTAGTGCAATAGAGTGCAATCCCTGAAGGAATCAGGTAGCAGACTTTAAACTGTACAAGACAAATCTGATTTAAGTTACAATCATGGCTTCTAATCATTCCAGGAGTTTAAATAAACAAATTATTTAAAGTTTAGTTTCAAGATGGACTTCTTTCAAACCACCACCAAGTGAGGTCAGCATTTGATAGCTCTAATCTTTAAAATGCTATCCTAATTATTTCCATAACAGAAAACCAAGAGCGAGAAGCTTAAAGTTCTTCATGTGCATTCACTAAAACTATTTTGAAGCTTCCGATCAGTGAAACTGCTATAAAAACATAAAAGGACCCAGTCAGCAGGAAATGTGCTGAGTCAGATTGCTCTTGCAAAACAAAATTCAAGCATTTTTATGCACACAAAAGAACAAATTAGATTTTTAAGATGGTGATTCTCATTTGGGTATAAATATCATTTGCACCAGTCACCCAAATATTACATTCCTGGCTTTATAAATTGAAATTTGGAACAACTTCTCCCAAGAGCATGGGAGAAGAAATTAGCAAATTAATTCTCCACTCCATTGACTAGTTAGTTTTAAAGAAACCGGCAACCATCCTCTCTTTACACAAAGAGTAATGGTCATCAGGTGCAGTATAGATAACAGACCTCCTGTCTGCCCAATGATCCCTGATATCTGTTTCACACTAGATATCTGTGATGGATATTTCCTGGTAATAAAGACTGAATACTCCAAAGTAAAATCCCTGGCCTCAAATGAATCATTGGCATTAGTTATTTCGCTTTTAACAGAATTGACCGTAGATTATTGTTCAACACTAATTTAATTCTTGGAACACATTTTACCAGTAATTACATTTTTGTTTAGTTAACCTCATAGCAATGGGTGCACTACATGACTTAAATAGTTTGAATAGCAGCTTGTGTAGCAAGCAAACGGATACATTGCCTTTTTAATTTTAATGAAGGACCACTAAATATGAAAAATTAGAACCAGTATAGCTACCAGCTGTTATACCAGTAAACTTGCACTTAATCACCTGGGTTCGCTCAACACAATAAAACTCTAATTTTATAATTAACAAGTATTTAAGAAAGTTACTGCATATTAAACAACCGCCAGAGATAAAAAAAATTATGTACCTTTTTTAAAAAAAATGTGAGCTGGCATTTCACATTACCTTAATAATCCTCAGTTCACTGCTCCCTCCACCATTACTTCACTCAATGCTTCCCCAAGTGCCTAGTATGGGAAACCCTACCAGTCCAGTGCAGCATGCCAGAGTACAAGACATCATATGGTTATTTTGTCAGTTCTTCAGATTCTATTGTTAAAGGGCAATGCATAATATCTAGACTGCAACTGGGATTCGGCATACTAAACAGTAACCCAAGAAAGCAATGCAATGCCAATGGATGCAGAGAATTGTATTTTATGAACAGTCCAGTTTGTTTTACTGACTGATCAATAACATTTACTTCCAATTTTATAAGTGGTCAATAAAGGAAATAAACTGGTCACAAGCGTCCTTCCGTGCAAATTTAACTTGTAAATAAATCACGAAAGGCCACTGAATATAGTATTAACCCCAGAGTAAGGAGGCATGCAGATGAAAAAGACTCTGGATAAATTCAGCCCTACATTTGAGTTTTTTTGGAGCCTATGAAAATTCCAGCAAATCATACTTAAGCAATGCAATCCAACATTCCTTTGAGAAAAAAGATGTTGCAGAACTTGTAATTGAACAGAAGTGATTTAAGAGTTTCAGGCCAAAGGCTTAATAAGATTTGAGCCTTGAAATATCAAAAACTAACATCCCACATTTCAAAGTCATGCTTACCTAGAACACTACTAGCTTCCATTGGATACTCCAGGAGAGATGCAGTTGGTGCCAGAGCATATGGGTAATCATAGGGTGCTGTGTAGATTATACCAGCCTCTGGTGAAGGTGGTACTAAGGCAGATGGATGAGGGGTTCCATTAGGCATAACTGCAGTTGTCTGGATTGGCCTAATTATATTCATTATGGCAGGACCAGCTGGCGTGGAGGCACGCAAGGTTGCTGGAGGAAGCATAGGGGCACCTGGTGCAGTGATCAGCCGCGGACCCTGCGGCGTTGCTGCAAAAGAAAAGGCAAGGGTAGCTGCAGTAAGCAACAGGGATCAAGAGGGGAGGAGAAAGGTAGGTGCGCAGGAGACAGGAGGGCAAGATTTACAGGAAGAAAAAGGTTTGACAAGGAAGGAAAACAGGAAATTAGTCCATGCAATGATCACGTGAATTCACACAAGCACCCCCAATAGCAAGCTGATTTCCCGTTACCAGTTTAAAATCAAGCAAAAATTTAAAGAAAAATTGCACAGTGCCAACTAAACAGTGAAATACTGCATAAATAACAGTAGACAGATCTGCAATATTTAACAAGTCATGTGTGAAACAGAAGCTAAAACCAAACACAAAACATGAAAATGTTAATGCCATGAACTATTTGGTCAGTGAGCATGTTGGCAGCTAATTCAGCACAGCATTCTAACCTGATACCTTCTGAAAGGTATTAAATCAGCAACACATACATGATAAATTACAATGGGAGCTTGACTATTCTGCAGTTAATATTTCCCCTAGTCTTTGTGCATCTTAGCCATATACAACAATTTCCTGGTTGTGGAAATGGGATAGCCAAGTCTTTAATTCAAGTGTTAAAAACAGGTAAATCATCAGATTAAAAATTGCATATGAATTGCACCATCATTTCATATTGAGGTCAGGCCATGGCATTGGCATTTTTGTGTGTTGTAGTATTGGAGCCTTAACACCTTATCAGCTGCATTTGAATAAGCAATACAATTTACATAATGTACTCAAAAGAACACTCATTGGTATACATGCAAGGTGATGCCACCTGCTGAATGGCAATTCTCAAAACACAGCAGTAACCTAAATGGTTTCAAACAATGTACGCAACCATTGAAACTTGTATGTCAAATATTGATGTTTAATTAGCAACCAGTAATTAATTCAAGCATGGATATGCCACACCAAATAGGTGAACATTTTAAGGTTAGAATTTCTTTACAATTTTTTTTAAATAAAAGTGTGGCAATAGCAATTCTAAGGTACAAGTTCATAATATTGTGGTTAAAAACTGGATGTTTGTTTATATTTTTGATGTCAACGGGCATCACCTTATTCATGTAGCTAGTATGCCTGAATACATACTGTGCAGAATCATGCAAGCGTTTCTTTAAACAAAAACCCATGAAGTTTGCACTCAGACACCCAAAGGAATTCAAATACAAAAGAATACATTTAAAAAGATGGATGAAAGTCAGGTGCGGTGATATTTCACTTACAAAAAAACTACAGTATTCTATTCTGCATCTTCCCACTGATAGCTAGCAGCATAAAATTGAATTTGTTGAAAGAAAACTATTTCAAGCTGTTACAAAGCATCTGTGCCTCAAACAAGTTTAAATTGGCTTTGTTAAGATTTTGGTCAAGTTAAAATACATTGCCCAATTACTCTCAAATCAATACACACTGAGGCTCAAAACCATTAAGAGAAGATTTACTCACAGCTTTCTAGTACAATGTTTACATTTCAACAAGTGAAAATTTAAACAGACATAAAACTAAGATGTGTAACATCTTGGTGTAGATCTGGATAATTTGGTCAGTTTACAATTCAAGTTTTAGCAGAAAACTACCGTTCCCGAAAATATTGACCTACTTTTCAGCATTTCAACCTTTTTTTGAATATTCTAAAACAAAATTGAACTTCATATCTGTATAGAATAGAAAGGCAATTCATTCTTGTGCTAGGAATTTTTGCATTAAATGGGCTGGTAAAAATCTCATCTATGCTACACTAAGGAGCTTATTGTATTGGTTTACTTTCAGATGTCTCCTTCAATGCAAAATGGCCTGTAGTTAGCAAATAATAATCCTTGCATTTGATAGAACGCCATATCACGCCATTGAGACGTCTCAAAGCGCTTCACAAGTACAACTACTGTAAAGTGAATTGACTGTATACTTTGTAGGCAAATGAAAAGATTAAAGGGGAAACTGTCGCAAAATTACTCATCTCGTGCATGACCAGAGGAAATAAATGAGTTTTTGTCACCCCTCTGAAAAGGTTTAAAGAAATTCCAATATTTCTGCAGAGCAGTACTGATCGATCGGAGGATTAATTCCTGCTCCTGATCACTACCCAGTAACCATGGTCCAAATGTACAAATTTTGATGTTGAACGAGAACATGATCCAGCAAGGCTGCAAGGCTCTCCTCCCCGCCTCGCTACCCAACGTTGAATAAACCTGATCATTCTGTCTAGGTTTGCATAGAAATAAATGGCTACTTTGACAATGTACCAGAGGGCTGCTGGCACGTTTAATATGCATCCCATCAGGAGTCAGCACCATCAGCAGAGGATGAGAGGAAAATGTAAATATAGTTACAAGGAATGGATTCAAGTCCAGCTTGGAACTGGATTAAGCCTAGCTGTTCAAGTGAACATATTTTATCCCATTAATCTAAGTTGATTCAAACCAAAATATTTCAACTAAACAGATTTCTAGCCTCCTGTATTTTCCAAATGTTATAATTTCCTCCCGATGTGAAAGGTGCTATATAAATGTAAATTTATATGCACCACACACAGCACATTCTAAGACATTTGCATCAAATAAACCAGCTAATAATATTCAGTAAATAGGCAAAAACACATGTAGCGAATGTTCTCTTACGTGGTCTGATATTGGCATCTCTGTAGGTCCCATTAAGAATAGCTAATTCCATCAGTTGCATCTTCTTCAAATTGTCTTCACCTTCAGCCTGCAAGGAATAAAAAAGCACAATGAGGCATCACAAATTGTACAGGCGAACAACTGCCTTTACAGTGTTTTAGCTTTGCATTCTGGTCAGGCAACAAATATCAAAGTCCATTACAATAATAGGTAGCAAAAGTGATATCAAACTGTCCAAGAGTAGGTTGTATTTTTTTTAAAGTCAGCCAAAAAGATATGCTGGAGCACCACGATATAATGAGATTTACTTGCGGACGAACAAGAAAGCAACTGCAAGTTAACTCTGGAGGGTTTTATGCCCGGTTAGTTGAGGGATGCAAGTAATTGAACTTTCCTAATATCAACAGCCAGCACTCACAGGTCATGTACAGTACAACAGTTCCTCCATTCCATCCCAACCTTGTTAGAAAAGGATTACCTGCTGCGCCAGAATGATCTATCTATTCCATTCCCTGAAAGAGGCAGAATATGGCGTTGCAGTAAGACGCACCATAGTTTACTCATCAGAAATAATCGTACTGGGAAAAGCCAAAATGATTTTTTTTTGGGGTGGGGGAGGAAAAGGCTTGCTATCAGTGGTTTGATATCAGTTCTATTGCATCATTGCAACCATTTAGTGTTGCAATTATGCAATACTTTTTTTTAAACCTACTGCCAGTCTACACCTCAGGCACCACAACGGTTCACCACAGCAAGCTCAGCAACCACTGCCGTCGAACTGCACAAACCAGATTCAAAACATTCTAACCAAAGTATTTTCATTTTTGTGCCTTTCAAGGTTTACTGATAAAAGGTACTGTTGCAAACCTCAGAAGAATCATTTGTTTGTCAAAGAAGATTAACCACAGTTGACCACTGAGTATCTGAAGTCAATCCACATAGAAGTCTAGGTATCAAAAATACTCAGATACCTTATTTTGCCTCAAACTATCTATATTAGATTTAATTTGCCATTTTTCTGCCTTATCAACCTATCTAACCTTAAAGTTCCTTAGAACCTTCTTTATTGTTAGCTACATTTCCCTATTACCTATTAACTTAGAAATTGTGTCCCTTACACCAGAATCCAGATAATTTATATAAATTGTCAGCAAAACTCACCCAAAACCTGTTTCAAGCCATTCAGACTGTTCATTGGTACTCAAAGTACACATATAGATTCTTAGCCACATAGTGAATTAGTGATTAAACTGGAATTTGTAGACAGTAACTCAAGAAGCCATAAAACAATTTCCACGTAGTCTAGAATATCTCTAACCAATTAGCTGCATCCCTCCCCCCAGTTAAGTATCAGTGAGTAGCTTAAATTTAAAATCAGTTTTGCTTTCATGTCCCACTAGACTCTCTCACATCAAGCGTACTTTTACACAAGCTATGGTGACAGGGATGAGTTAGTGTCGCTAGGCTGACTGATCTTCAAAGAGTTCAGATGCTGTGCACAGACATGTGGCGCTGCTTTCCCTCACTTGATAAATTTGTAGGTTATAAAGTTAAAGCAGACTCAAGGGGAAGATATGCCATTCAGCCTTTTGGCTCTATTTCACTAACTGAAGGCAGCTGTGCTGTAAACAATTGTAATACCTTTTGTAGAGTAAATGGCTGTTTCACATATAAGATTTTATGCAAAGAAATGTGGTGATAAGACTGCAGCAACAAAAAAATGAGCCATAACCATATTGGAAGATCATTAAGAAGGGTCTGGTTACACTACCTTGATGGTGCAGGATTTTTGTCATACTTTTGTGGTGCTATCCAATCACTACTTGGCAGAAGCAAACTGCCTAAATTTCTACTTTTAAAGGAGAACAGTTCATTATGCTTAAATAAATCAGGAATGCAAGCAAGGCAAAAATAGATAAGCTTGCTACAAGACAAAAGTGTAGATATTCGGTCTTAGAGATTTAGAGTTTTTAGGTGGTTGCCTGGAAGGTATGGCTGAATTAGAAGCCAGAGTAATTAAACCTCTGGTTCTTCTCTTCCCCACACCAGCACCCACCCCGGCTAATCTCGGGATAGATCAGGTTCTGTAATCCCAGAATCAAAAATGAGACGTTTTCTAAATGATGGGTAAAGGCATGTTAAGACAATGCAAGCCCTGCGAGTTAGAAAACAGGAAGGGACATTCATTCTCAAATGGAAATTGGTTAAAGAAATTACAAGAGACTCAATTATTCTTTGTGAACCAGATGATGTTTCATTTATATTATCCAAAACAATGCAACATTCCCAGTGAACTGTTCACAAGATGTTAACAGAATTAGAAATGCATGCATATGCGATGCCTCATCCAGTTCCAATTTCAACCAATGTAAAATCAGCAAAGAAAATCAATTTGTTCTCCTGAACTTCTGCATGGTTAAAGCACTGGTTCACATGAAAAAGAAATACGTTCGGACAAAGGGAAAATGGTTATAAAAAATCTACGCATTAGCCAATGCAAATAATAGTTTTTACTTTTTTTAAAATAAAAAGGACTTTGCATCCCATTCTAGAAAACAAATTAGGCTGTTTAGCAAATGTTTTCAGAACAGAAAGTTTCTCCATTCTACAATAACTCGTCAGTCTTTAGTCCAACAAGGCACAATTGACAAAAAGTCCACTCACTGCAGTTTTAGTAAAAAATGATGGATTTAAGCAATATTCATAGAGAATACAGCTTAGAAGTTATGGTTAAAACATACAGAAAACAGATGAGATAAAGGGAGACATCCTGACCAGAGTAACCTCTTTGCAACTTTTACTTCTCACTAAGTCAAGAGTTGCAAATGGAACTTTCCCAAACTGACAGGAACATTTGGAGAATGCATTAAAGCATTCTGTGTTTCTTTGAATGGCTAGTGTATGGACTTGACAGGAATCTCTTAGGGATTGGAGTCAATTTCACTTAACTCCGCTTCAAAAACACTAAATCTACAGTAAATGGTAGCTTCTGTGTAGCTTCTGTGAACATCTCTGGTGTCAAAAATGATGCATTGTTTTAGCTTTTTCATGCACACTTGATTTAACAAAGTGAGGAACGTGGAAGCCAACATTATCAAAGCACTTCTAGATGAAGCGTAAAAGCCAGATTGAGTAATTCTTTCTCTACTCTGTACCAACAATGCATCTGAAAAACTGGAACTATCCTGGCAAGAATCAGCAAAATGCATGAAACAAATTTATCTACTATAAGCAAATAATTTCTCCCGTATTGATCCAGGAAAACCTGACATTACTGCAATACTCCTGCCTGCAAACATATGGTGAACTTAAGACTAATCAAATTTGTGCCGTTTTATGCTCTGCTTTAAGATTACTTGCTTTTCTCGAAGGAGCCAGAACACACATCCACGACAAATCTATATTTCAGTTTGCTGCCAAATGTATTCCCAACAGTGGGAAAATTGTTCCCACTATTCTCAAACGGAATTCTAAAATTACACACAGGCCACAGCAAATAATCCATTCTACTGATTCAACATTTGCCGAATTACTATTATGCAAATCAGGCTTTGAAGCAAATTAAAGCTTTACTTGCATTGATTTTCTTTTTTAAAAAAACTACATCCGCCATGCTTTAGAAAATTCTTCAGTTGCCTATTAATGCAGTACCCAATCACTTTATCAAGCTTGGAAGAGTATATGTTTACATAAATTATAAATATGAAGACTAAAAGCTAGTAGAAGGGTATGCTGTATACAACTTCAGTGCTTTAGCTTTTCTGTAAATAAGAATTTTTTTAAAAAAAATTCACCAGAAGAATTGCTCAATCTACAACGGAAAGTTTGCGGAGAGAAGAAAATTCCCCTCACACATCATATACAAACTGCAAATTGTACTATTCCTACCTATTCCTGCAAAATACTGTAAAATGTCTAGGTTCAACTATTACAACCAATTTATTGCACTATTCATACAAAGAGTAGTTCCAGCAACCACCTTATTAAATGCACAATACCAATTAGATGCTTATTCAAACCTGGAACGATCGTGCAAATGAGAAAGGTAATCTAGGCTCAACAAGAAACGTAAGAACATTCCAACATTATAATCAGTTTTGGAAGTGATGTAAGATTAGCATTAGTACTGAATTTTAAATCGGATCTTGAGAAAAAGTCTTTCAGCTGACCTTAATTTCACATACTGAAAACAAAAATAAGACTGGATTGTACAGAGACAGAGTAACTTTCAAAGGTTCAATTATAATTTTTCAACTTAAACTAAAATGAAAGCTGTGGGAAACAGTCATTTAAAAGCAGCATACTTAGTAAGCTTCACAAATAAAGCAACTAACTGTACATTAGTTCTATTAATGCACTTACAAGCATGTAAAGTACTGTGTCACTTTACATCTGATCACCATTTCTGGTCAGATTGGATCTCCATTTATCCCAATGTAATCAGACAGTATCATTTATTTTCAATAAATATAATGGCTTGTATAGTTATTTCTGTTCCCCCCACCCACATTAACCTTACGGTTCATTGTACACATCAGAGGGATCCAATTTTTAAAAATCTTAATGCAGCAGAACAGTGCAAATTACACAGATGGCAGCCACAGCAGACGGCAGTTATTGATTAAAATGTTCATATTTTTGCTGACTAGCCTTTGTGCACAATCTCCCCTCCCTAGGCATTCAGCACTCAATGTGTTTATATAACAGAGCTACCCAATAGTAATTATATTTAAGCATAAGAATGGCAGGCTTGAAGATCAACACTTTCCTGCTCTAACTACACACTGGCCCCATGGTCAACAACATTAGTCCATATAGTGGGACTGAAGTTATATGGCTAGTAACTATAAGCCAGTTACCAATGGAATTGAAAGTAATATAAAACCCTTGAATTTGGTGTGCAATGAAAAATTTGTATAAAAATTGTTGAGATGATCATGCATGAGTTTACAGAGGGAACAAGCATGATGGGCAAATTAAGTTGGACTGAGTTTCAAATAAATATGGAATAAAGAGACCTGAATCAGTTAAAAGCCAGGTTGCCTACCATGGAAATTCTACAACAACAACAAAATTACATTTGTATCGCGCCTTTCACATCGGGAGGACGTCCCAAGACTCTGCACAGACAGAGTTACGGACCCGAGCTGAGGGTTGGGGTGGGGGCGGGGGGAGGGCGCGGGGGGAGCTGGGAGATCGAAAGCACGAACGAAGAGGGTCTTGAGGTGGGTCTTGAAGGTGGCAAGCGAGGGGACGAGACGGAGGTACTGCAGGATGGAGTTCCAGAGGGTGGGTGCAGAGTGGCGGAAGGCTGCCCCGCCAATAGTGGGGCGAGCAAGGTGGGGGACGTGAAGCAGGCCGGACCCACTGAGTGGAGGGAGCGAACGGGGTGGTAGGGGATTAGGAGGTCGGAGAGGTAGGGAGGAGCAAGACTGTGGAGGGCTTTGAAGATGAGGACCAAGATCTTGAACTGTATCCTCTGTGTGATGGGAAGCCAGTGGAGTTGGGCAAGGATGGGGATGATACAAGCATACACCAATATTAGTGATGAAATCATCCAATTAATAAATAAGTTAATAAAATTATAGCAGCCAGTAGAATCTTTGGTACTTATGCAGAATCAAATCTGAAAAAAAACTTCCACACAAAAAACACTATTTTAGTCAGTGCAGAACAAGATGTTGGCAAGTTATTCAGTCTTAATGTAGGCTGCGAATGCTATGGAATGTCATAATACAACGGCAGTCAAGCCATTGGCGTTACCACTGAAACGAGCTTCAATAAAATTGACTTCAAAATTACATTAATACTCTGCAACCTTGAAAGTACAGTTTTGGAAAGATCAGTCAAAAGTACACAAACCATTGAAATAAAAAATCTAACCACCTGAAATGTTTTTCAATGAAGCAGTCGTAGGACAGACTTGTACTACCATGAATAGTTGTATATGAACAAACTGATTATATAGCTTCAAAATGAATCTCATAATGTTAAATTGCAGTAAAAGATTTAATGGACAACTTCACACAGATGAATGACGCGCCACTTAATTCACTGTTAATGCAAAAATGCCAAATTCATTAAAAAACAACACAGCAGCACATGGTGAAAAAAACTCAGCAATATGCCCAATATCACAATGGTGTACTTACTGGCACACTTGATCCTGAAGAAAACTGAACTAGTTTGGCCTAGTTTTCATGATTAGGGATATGCAGGATGATTTAGACAATCTACAACAACATTTCATTTAATGCTAGACCAAGGCTAGATTCAATTCCCTTATGGGTTAGTGGTTCTTAAACACTAATTCTACCGCAGATATTGGATGCTCGCGAGTTTTTTCCCTTTTTTTGCAACCATTTTTGCAAGAATAATTCTCCTATTTGAGAACTAATTACATGATCAAGTTACCATGTACTCACAGTTCATTAGGTACAGTGAATCTCATTCTGATCATGTTTCACAGAAGGCTGGTGACATTCAGTATTTAGTGTACTAACTACACAATAGGAATATGCATCGATGAGTGCAATCCAAATAACGCACAATGTCATGCAAAGTTAAAGATTCACACTAATCTCTCTGAAGCTGCACTGCTTTAATTCCTTCTTTCTCTGGGCACAACTAGGAAAACCTCTGTAGGATGCCTTTATCCCTCAGAGACCAATACCAGACACTGAGAGGTATTTCACATCATGTGCTTGCATTACTCAATATGTGTTTTAATGCAGAGAAAAAAAATCACACTGGAAAGTGTTCAAGAGTAGAGGATTGATGCAACAGACAATATAAGTTAGGGAAGCTCAATCTTATTAAAACAGGGAATAATCAGGAAGAAATGTGGATGAGAGAAAGATAGATCTAATCGATATTACAGACCTAGAAAAAAGGCAAGTTGCTTCTGTAGAAGCAATTCAAAACCACTAAGGTTGTCTGCAGTGCTCCGGGACACTACCAGGGTGAAGGATACTATACAAATGCAAGCTGTTGCCTGCAGCAACACTAATAAACTAAGTCTTCTGCAAGTTTTGTCATTTTGAAAGCAATAATGCAAGGTCACAGAAGTCTTCCACTCAATACTGTATGTGTATGTGAAATGCTTACATTTGAAACCAGTTGTTCCAAGGTTAAAATAAAACCGCATCACATCAGCACTTACGGCAATATTTTCAAGCACCACCCATAGGTAAATTTTACTCAAACACATACTATTTGCTACCAAAGAACAATCTGCATGATTATATATTACATATAAAGCAAGCAGACAATTCGGTTGATAGTGATCAGCAGTGGCAATCAGCAAATCAGCTAAATACTTCAGCTAGAGCATCGCCACCAAAACAGCACTGATTTACTTACAGCAGGCACAAGTAGTTTTTTAACCTCTTCGACAGCTCTCCGCAACTTCGCTTCTGCTCGGTTTTGTGTGTCTTCAACAGTTATTAATACATGGAGCTCTTCATTTAGGTGCTCCCAGTTTGGCTTGCCTCGATTCTGTTCCTCCTACAATCAAAACAGTTTTTTTAAAAGAAATTATTGAACAAAAACTAAGGTAATAGTCAATCTTAGAAGCTGATTTTAAGTGGATTGTGACACTTCAGAAAGAACAGTAATCAATGCAAACAAAAAATTACTTTTCATAAATAAAACCGAAGAATCATGGATCTTTCTATTGAATTGGTGAATCAACATTCACAACAGTGCAAATTTATACAACATTTAAATAAACGCTTTGCGATCACCCTCCAACTATTCAGCTTGTAACATTCGTTAAGCCAAGAGATGCAATTCAAATATGCCAGCTAACCCTAGCAGAGAACCACTCATGTAGTTGGCAGATACACGCACAGGGCTATTCTTGTTCGTTAACTCTATGTCCTTGACATTCAGTTAAATACAGCAAGGTGAACGTGCTCCAAATATCTTGTGGTCCAGTTTGCAACTGACACTGCTGTGTAAGGATAAGCTAATCAGTGACCGTACATTTGTTAAAAGTATTTCAATTTTTTCAATTTAATCTTCATGCTGGTATGGGTATGCATGCTAATTATTTCAGGAAAATACTAGACAGGATGCGAAAAAAGAGCAGAGGAATGTGATTTGAAAGTAGATCTCTGTCTGGGAGGAATGATAGCACCAGCACAGATCGGCTGAATGGACTTCTTTGCTATTAACCTTCCATGACCAGTGTTATTCTAGCTGCAGCTTTAAACTTTAAGAGCCGTCAGTGTACTACAAATCCCAATACTCAGAGCATGGCTGACATTCAAGATAGTTTCCAGTTGATTCTTCACATCACTAATGGGTATAACACACAACTGCCTCAAAGGCAACCTCCTACTGGGTTTGGACTTCAGTAGGAGGCAAACAAACTGAATAAAAATTCGCAAGATCCAACAATTTTGCTACTACAAACCTAGTGAAGCCAGACAGTTAACAAGTATACCATTTCAGAACAGAACTGGTTAGAAATTGAAACTATAGAAAATCAAATATCAGGACTTTTTTTTAATATGATGTACCATCATAAGGAATCAATTTTGTCACACCACCTTAAACATAAACTGTTTAAAATGGAAAGTAATGAAATGACACGGATAGAACTCAGGCAGAGTGACGTATTGCAAAAGCTTCTTGTCCTGAAGTCACAGAAAAACATTTTCCCAAGTGAATGCTGTCAGAGAAAAAGTACAAATGGAAATCAAAGTTGAGAAAATGTAACCATACTAATGATTTGGCTTTAAATGTTGATCAATCTTGTGAAAACCATTTATAGCTTTCTGGTTCTAAGTCAAAACAATTACCAGCTTGTTCAATTATTTACCCAACAGAATTCAAAACAGACAAGTTTCTAACAGATAACAAAATTGTGCAAGTTTAGTTACAAATATTCACAGTGCAGTGGAGGGAAAGGAGAAGAGGTCAACGTCTTAGAATGTGGAACTTAGAGAGGGAGAACAAATAAGAGAAAACCATTGCAAATTTGCTAAAAGCACCACAAATTATGGCTGCTGAAGCATTCAATGTGATTAAATAAATACTAAGTCACAAAATTCTAACAGTTCCTCTTTTCAACTCCACATGCAGTGGCTAAATGAAGTCTCTTGTCTTCAATAAATAGTTGCACAGTAGAAAGTTTTCAGTACAAGCCAAATTACAAGAATGTCCTGTCTGTACTACACCACCTCCACTCTTAAGGTTCCACCTTTCTTGATCAGCCAGATCAATGGTTTCTGTGTAGCTTTAAACATTTTCTTGTACACTGTCAAAAAGCAGAGCAGCCCCATTAAGTAGGAAATCTCAACTAGTGTCTTTCAGTTAAATATAAGTAGTCAGTTTGGTCGGTTAACTCACAAGGAATCACCCTCCACCACCGGAATGGAAAAACAACTCTTGGGGAACAATTCATTTGCCCCCACATGGCTAATTCTGGTCTAAGAATGGAGCACTATTTGCATCCTTAAGAAAAGTGTTTTTTTTTGAGTTGCATCAAGTTCCCACTTTAGTATTGCAAAGAGCTTTTTCCTACTACCATGAGTAAAACAATTAATGTAGAAATGTGTACTCTTGCTGCAGATAACATAGCCATTGTTCAAGTTATTCATCCACTCAATTATAGATTATACATTCCCAGGATGACTGTTCAGCAGATTGAGTTCATGGAGTTGAAATGAACAAAGAAAGTGTATGTATTCAGACTGAATGACCAATTTGGGGTATCTGAAATGGCCGGTCAGGCTGAACAAGCTCAATGATCCAACAGTATGTAGTAATGTCCTGAATCATAGAAAGACATGGATGCTTTCTGAGCTTAATTTCTCTCCCTTTCCCCTCTAAAATTTGGCCAACTCATAGGTACTTGCAGAAATAAAGGGCTGATAGAGAGGTTAACCAATGACTCTGTGACGAGTACGAGATTGATGTGGTAACTTTATATGATGGTCAAGCTGGTGACTTGAAATTAAAAGGCAGAAAACACTGGACCTGAAAATAAAGATACCCATCATGCTGCCCTGAGGCTAATGTAGTATTCTGGTGGAAATTACATTGGTGAGCTCAAACTGACTAGGATCTTGTGCAGCTGATTTACACTTCTCTTTCCTCACTTTGGTCATAAGCAATCTGAAAACCTAAATAGATTTGTTTTGGCAAAAGAACCTGGATGAATGTTTACGCTAAACACCAAATTTTTAACAATCTAGCATTTACTCCCATTAAATTTACCCCATCAGTTATTTGGAATGCTGATCAGTCAAAAACAAGTCAGATCCGGATGAATTGGGAGTATATCAGTTCCATAAGAAACTTGTGTATGTAATAGGCTAGCAATTTCCCAATTATTTTAGAGTTCCTCCATTTAAAATCCTAGCTATTTCATGTAGAATCTAAAAAAAACTATAGGAGCCTGACAATTGCATCAACAAGTAACTACTACATGCATTATTATTATTACATGTAATTCAGATTATTGGCCAGGAATGTAATAGTGATCTAATTTTCTGACAAAACCAGTTTTGACTCTTGCACAATTTTCTGGAAAACTGTTATATAAGTTATATAAACGGCAAAGTCAGCAAACCAAAGCTTATTCAGCGAGTCCCGACTCGTCGTTCCTTGTGCACATAACCAATTTTCAAATTGATTTTAGTTTATCCTTAGCAATATACTGCAAACAGTCTCAGTCTTTAGAAGAAAAAAACAACCCCACTCCCTCTATAGTTACTTAGCTTGGGTGTTTTTCGTACAATTGGACTGACAAAAAAATGCAATACCAGATTTCAACCCCCACATTAACATAATTTTCATTCTTCCTGTAAACCACAATGTGCCTTTTGAGCCTTAAGAGTATAAGCTATACTTTCCTTGATAGAATTTAGCTAAACACATGCATGATGCCACACCCATGGGAGAAGCATGTACTTTCAGGCAAACATTACCCTAAATTCCTAAATTTTAGAAAATCTAAACTCTAAACTTGGACCATGAAATCGACATTGACAAAACTCAAGTCTTAAAATTAAATGTCTGGTTCAGAATGTCTTTCCAGAACAAAACCTAAATGCAAAGTGAAGTCAGTTATTGGATTCTCAAGTCGTCAGTTTAAATCCTCCACACAGAAAAACTATTAACTATTCATGTGTGGACTTTCTTTCACATGTATGACGAATTTCACGTTGAGTCAATTCATTTAAAAAAGGATATAATCTTACAAAAAAAATCTATTTGGCAATCAAAATGTACAAACTGTTGGCAAAAAATCCATTATGGAATCAAGTAAGCTTCTTCCATCAAATACTACATTCCTATTATAATCCATCATTATTCCTGGCCTGACATTTATCTCCACCTGTTCTGGAATACTTTCATTTAAATTCCATCAACAATATTCAAGAACATTTTTGGGACCATTAAATAACAAATAACAAAACTTCTACTTCAATACAAATGAAACAACTCACCAAATGCATTTAGCAACATATTTAAGATATACAACTCTACAGATATCAATTTTCTTAGCGGGATAGAATCTAACCGTAGTGCTTTCAGTTCCCTAACGAAGCTAACAGCTTTCACTATATATTAATGTGTTCCCCATGAATCATTCAAATTCCCTAAGTGACCAAATTGTGACACAATGAAAGCACAAAGTGACCAGATCTGCATTTATGTTTGCCCTTCCACTCACTTCATGCAATCCCCAATTAAACATTAAAAAGTCTAGATGAAATATGCTAAGAGCAGAGAGAAAAACAGGGCCACCTATTATGCACTTCTTGAAGAAACTTGTAATATCCTGGGGTTCTTTCTGAGCAGTGCGGCAGCCACCCAGTTTGTGCAGAGTTTCCACTACAGTGGAAGAAATCAGCTCAGTTAATTTGAAATATATGATCCTTGATACAATCTGGCTGCTGGAACTTAATGTCAGTTAATCATACAGAATATCACTGGCCTATCTAGATAGGCTAACCCCTCTGTCAGTCAATGGGCATATAAAGAGTCCTCAATTTGTGAAAATTACTCAACTTCTAGTGCTTTAAACGTAATTGCACAAAATAAAGCCTTCACACCAACTACATTAACATTATACATGCAAGAACAGTCCCCTGTTAATACAATATCCTGTAGAATTTTTTTTAAAAAATAGATTACAGAACTAACAGATGTTCTTTAACCACAAACCACAAGAGCCACTGGTTCTGGTAACAGAATAATATTTAGAACAAATTCTAAAAACAAAAGCAGCTTTCTGGTTTTAACAAAGTAGATTAATTCCAATGTGATATGTTGCCACACAATGTCACCCGTTCAGGTTATATATTTGTTCATAAAATGGAAAATGAATAAAACATTCCTATCTGTGTTCAGTTATTTCTGGCACACAACTAACTTGTTCAGGCATAACTGACTTGTATGAAAATAAGGAGTTCTGTATTTGAACATCCTACACATCAGCTGTTCCACTAAGCGACTAGGAATAAAATTTCAGCGTTTCGTTAATGCTACTTCATCCTAGGATTCAGCAGGGTGAAAACCAATGCCCCAGTCTCACACAATTATAATTTCAATGAGAAGCCAATTAAACATTACATTTAAATCTACAAATCTAAAATCACAAGCCAACAAAACTTCAGTCCACAGCAAAAGGAACATGATAGGGGGTATGGCAACTTTCAAGTCTCTTAATCAATGCAGATAATCAACTTATCCACAGCCAAATACGCAAACTGAAACCACTTCATGCCCATTCAACCACTAAAATACCAGAACAAAACACAAAATACTGCAGATGCTGGAATCTGGAATAAAAACAGAGAGAACTGGGAAAACTCAGCAGGCCAGGCAGCATCTATGGAGAAAGGAAAGTGAGTCAACGTTTCGGGTCCGCGTTCTGACGAAGGATCTCGTTGACTCACTTTCCTTTCTCCATAGACGCTGCCTGACCTTCTGAGTTTTCCCAGCTCCCTCTGTTTTTGTACTAAAATACCAGACCTTTTTTTGCTAATGTGCCACTGAGCTATTGAAGCTTGCCGAAAATTACACCAAATTTGTGAACAATCTCAACAGCCTCCACATCCCACTTGCAGGTTCACAAAACCAAAGCGCGATTTGCATTTCACATCCAAACACCTCAAAGGGTTTCTCCTGTAAAAGTGCAGGCAAACCAGTATATACAGGATCAAATCCACCAAAAGGATTCAGGCATTTTTGGAAGCATAATGTGATTAGGAAATACCACAAGCTAGATAAGAAAATGGTGTAATCATGAACTTGTCATGCAATGGATTTTATTCTACTTTCAATGGGGGTAAAGAAAAATATTATAATGGTTATTCACCCACCAAGCCTATAAGAGTTGTCTTACCTTCTTTTTATCCCGCATTGAACTTTTCCCTCTGACCATTATTTTGCAGCCAGTTTCTGCTTCCAGTTGTTTTGCTGTGAGCCCTCTGGGGCCAAGGATTCTGCCAACGAAGTTAAACTAGGAAAAGAAGAAAAATATTTTGAATCCATTGTAAATGAAAGTTTTCCACATTTACAACACTGATTTAAACCAACAGGATAACAGGATTCTCAGACATGTAATTTATTACTTGCGACTATACTTTTAGTTTTGTTTACTTTTGACTAGTTCTTGCTGGTACAACTAAACTGAATGGGAACACCAATTATGAAAACAGAAACAAGAAATGCTTGAAGCTGAATTTTTGTTATAAAGAGTGAAAATGAGGAAGGGAAAAACAAAGAAAAGCAATGGCGAGCTGATCAAAGATGCATTGCATTCCACTATCTACATGAGTTTCCAATAGCTTTTCCTCATTCCATCTAGATCCCCTAAAGGCATTTGTAGACCTTCATATTGACAAAGTCCAACAACTGGAATAGATTGAAACACCTATATCACTCCCCACTTGGGCTGGTCAGCAGCAAACAAGTGCTGTGTTGATACAAGGGTAAAAAATATTGCTTTAAAAAAACTAGGTTAATACAGCATAGTGTTACAACAGCTGCAAGTAAACCCAGCTCACACATAAACCCATTCTAGGTCACAATAAGAGTAAACTAAACTTACAGGGAAACTTCACAGCATGGCATGTGAATGCTCTAAACTAATGAACGCATTTGCCTGCTATTTATAAAGGCAATGACCCACTTTGAATTTATGTAATAAAAACACCTTCCACAAATATTCTCCTCCAAATAAATCCTGCAGCTGCTCACCCTAACAAAAGCACTGCAGGTTACACCAGAGACTAATTTGAAAGATGCCAACAGTCATTGGGCATCAAAATACAAGAATTGCATCATTATCAGATGCATTTTAATGCACAAATCTTGACACTGCTCAGATGAGGGAAAACAAAGATTTTACTTATGCTTAGTCAGATGCAGTCAGTGAATACAAAATTATAAAGCTGTAGAAATATGGTCAGAGCAGCTTACAATTATCAGGAGGCTTTTCATTCCAGTATTTCAGACAATTATCCGTACATTTGACTATTCACTATTCATGACACCTCCTCTTGCCAGATACTTCAATTCCTTCACAAATTCTAGGAGTCACTAAGCTCTTTGTCCATAATAGAAGTATGTCCTAAATGCACGGTGCCTACTAAATTTTGGAATCGCATTGATAAATTTTGATAAGGCAAAAATGTTAACTTGGAATACTTATGTAAAGTATTGCTGTTCCTAACTCACGCAACCTAGATAAGTGACAGCATATAGCATTAAGAATTTCTGTTGCAAGTTTTTGCATTGACTCGCTGACAAACTTAGGTCTAACCCTCATTTCTATGAACAATGCCAAAGGCAACTAATTTTATCTCCAATATAGATGATGCTGAAACCATCATTTCAGTGAGCGAATAGTGAACTTGTGGAACAGACTCCCTAGGGAGACCGTTGAAGCAGGAAGTGTTGATTCTTGCAAACGCTGATTATGAATAGTTTTCTTTCAGGAAATATCTTTATGGGATATAGCACATAGATAATTTGGGACATACGTTTAAGTGATCGACAGGAAGATGGAAGGTGAACTAGATGGACTTTGGTTTTTATTCGTCTAGCATTTCTTATGTTTTTATATGTTCATGCCTAGTTGCTTCCTCTCTGGGTGAGATGATTGCCTACAGTTCTCTCTGGAAAACTGTTCATCAGTTGGCTTCAGTTTAGTATTGACTGAAGCCTGGGAACAGGTGTACGTACAGTTCACCCTCTTTGTTGTGAATCCGACAATGAAATCAAATGGGAAGAAAAAAGGGGGGAGCAGCTGCTTTCTACACCAAATAGTACTGTTTATTTAAGCTTCTGTTCTCTTGATGTGAGGACTGCGTGCTATACTAATTAGTCTATCGAGTCTATAGAGGATACAAGTTACTTCTGGCTGTTCACAAATGGTTCTCGCCACACTGAGTGAATTTAGGACGTTTTTCTAAGGTACCCCAGTTTTGACACTTGTACAATCTTACACAGTATCTCAACGAGTCACAGAAAAAATCATAATAGTAGTATTGTGCATTAGAATACTATTTGGGGAAGAGAAGGCTAGAGAGCTGTTTATGTGGAATTCTTGCAAGAAGTGCTGGCTGCGCCATGAGCACAGTAAAGTCATGATAAACATATGGAAAATACTTTCAAAAAGTAACTGAATGTGGTAACGATTAACTGTGAGACCAACTGGCAACAACAAAGGAAGTGTTAGTTTTCACATTACCTCCCACCATATTATGACTTAATTCCCGATATTCAAAGCACTAAATTAACAGCATATTTTCTCTACTTTGTGGCATTTGGCACAAACCAGTTCAACTGCTGGGGGGGGGCATGATAGTATTGTATCCAACAAGTGCTTCCCCGAGTCCTAACAGCCTAGTTCTTAGCTAAAAGATTGACCATGCGTGTAACCGCATGTTGAATTCCTTAGGAGTAACCATGTGCAATTTAATTAGTGAGCACTTCAACTAATAGTGCTTCCTCCTCCCGGAATCTCATACTATGATTCTACCCCTATATTTAATATTGCAGAACTAGAAGACCTTGCCGGTTTTCATTAACTCAGAATACTGTGAATTTTAATGATCCACGATATCACTGAAATAAATCTTCACCATCACAAAATAGGTCTTGAGCAGTTTTACTTTCCTGAAACCAAAGATGACAGCAGTGCTTGCTAAACTTGCCGAACCTTAACAAGGAAAACAGTTGATCAGTGATCTAAAACCCTTTAGTAATTAATAACAATCCTTGCATTTGATATAGCGCTTTTCACATCTTCTCGACGTCTCAAAGCGCTGCACAGAATAGACTGTAAAGTGAATCGACTGTATATTTGTGGGCGAAACGCGGCAGCCAATTGCGCACAGCAGTGTCCCACAAACAGTCGTGGATTGAAAATGACCAATTTATTATTGTTTTGGAGGGATTATTGAGCCAGCAGACTACTAAATACATTTTAAATGAGAGGGCTTCATATCTTAACCGGCTCCCAGCATTGGGAATACTTTTCCGAATCCAAATTACTATTCACAGGCTTTCCTAAACCAACCCTTCTTCCATTCAGCAGGCAGCATTCCAACAAGCTAAATCCAGATGCTTTACAGTCTTCAAACCAGCACTTATACTCAGCAGCCTTGCTGAAAGCATACCCAAGGGGGTTAATGATTAGCCTGTACTAATCATTCTGCAGACTGCACTTTGCATAGCTACATGCCTTGCTAACAAACTCTTTAAGGCAGATGTTACTACATAGGTCACAGACTAAAACTAAGATAGCAGATAGATGAAATATAAACCTGTTAGTGGGACAATCATAAAACAAAAGTAAACTTAATTTACAAGTTTTAAACACTGATTTTTACATTAATAAGAACCTAAGCCAAAATTCCTTAGTTGCACGTAACTGACAAGCCCAAATGAAAATCCATTCCAGATTTTGCACTCGATGTTAAATGGCTACTCAAAACTACAGAACAAACAATAATTTTTGATGAAGACTGTGAGAATGAGACCATCTAGGACATAAATGCAACATACATTTTGCATTACAAAGTGCAAAATAAATGTACCTTTTGAGGGAATGTTAGCCCAAGTTTGGATTCCGTAAGATAACAGCACCAGAAAACCGCAAATACAAACACTTCATTATACTGAAACCATTCAAAATAACCAGTTGGATTATTTTTAAATTATTCTATAAACAGAATAATATATCCTGGAGTGTTGCTTGTGGGTATTAACTTCAGTTTGGAGGCTTCACAGTAAACTAAATGGTGGCACTGATACTTGAGGTTCCATTCGTCCAGTGGTCAATAAACTAAAGCATTTGAGCCACTGGAGTGAACAGGAGTTTGTCCTCTCCTGTGGAAAATATCCACTGCACCAAACAAGACCTTCTGGAAGACAACTTGGCTACAAAATGTGGATTTTACAAATCTACACCAGCAAACAAAATAAAACCTGCAAATTGTGCAATATCCCACAAGAGAGGGAGTTATAAAAGTTGTCATGCAGTACAACTAAAGAGGTAGTAAAAAAAGAAAGGAATATCATAATGAAAATACATGCAGTCCCCTAAAGAATGACTCACCACATAATGCCCCTCCATTCTCTGCAAATGTTTGATTGCTCTATCAAAACTCCCCTCAATCACAATACCAATGCAAAAATGAAGCAGAGTGCACATTACCTCTGCTTACCCAGAAACTGAATTCAAACCTGAGGTGGCGGGGGGAAGACTAGCAGGGAGGATATTATACCAAATCTGAAGGTACCATTTAGTATAAGGTTTGTGCATGCAATACCTTTATTCACTTATGGAGCCTGAATTATGCAACCAGAGTATGTTGACTAAAGCTCATTGACTCAGCCACAACTGAGTCAAGAGATACGGTTTCTTCTTTCTTATATTTCCTAAAGACAGTAGTCATATGGTCATCATACATTAACCTAGGCAGCATTTTTTTTACAGGACAGTATCACAACAATCATGCCTGATCTTATCAAAATATCTACATGTGCATTATGTACTTACACCAGGGGGTCATCAGATAGGGATCAGGTACTGGAAACCTAACTAATATTTCCTCTTCGCCAATCAAGTACAGGGACCGAGTCCAACGTAGGCCAAATTTTAGCCTAGATATTAATCACTGGGTAACAATCACAACTACAAACTTTGGGACTTGTGCAGATATTTTATGATTAATGACATTCTTGCCAGACAGTAACTTAAGTGCTCAGCAATCCCTAGACAATTCAGAATGACGCAATTCTGCATTCTTACTGTAGAAGTTTAATCACGTAATGCATGGCTCAATCTAATTACATCTTAGAATTTAATGCTCTCAGGAAAGCTTCAATCTAACCAGAGGGCAGTTTTTCCAGAACACATTCTCTAAAAAATCTAATCTCAATTTATAAATGATTTGTCATCTGTGATCCTAATCACAGACAACAACATGCTAAATTATAATTTGAGCCGGATGAGACAGAGAAAAAGAATCCCATTAGTGCTCTTAATTACAGACACATTAGTGTCACGAATATTTGCTCGTCGTTGACAACAATGAATTGAGGAGCAAATGGCAAAGAAAGGGAAGAAGTCTACCAGCAATGGGAAGAAAAAAGTGCAACATTACATTTCCTATACAGATGGGGTGGGGTTTAAGAAAAGCAGACCTGTATATAAGATCACAAGAAATGTAAACTCCAGTTTTCACGGACAACACTGAACAACCCCCAACGACAACTTGCATTTAAGTAGTTACTCATGAACTCCCAACTACCCAATTCTATTGAATTCCTTTAAAAATCTCAACTCTCTCATTGGTCACTTTAGTGGCATAACTATATCAAATGTACTATATCGTACTATGACTATAAAAATTACCACAAATACGACTGTTATTGCTGGAGATTTAGGAATATTTTAGTATCATGATTTGGGCAACTCCTTGCATTTGATAGCACTTTTCACGTCTTCTAGACGTCTCAAAGCGCTTCACAGAATAGACTGTAAAGTGAATTGACTGAATGTTTGTGGGCAAAATGCAGCAGCCAATTGCGCACAGCAGTGCCCCGCAAACAGTCGTGGATTGAAATTATCAATTTATTGTTTTTTTTGAGGGATTATTATCAGGCGTGTGAAGTAAGGAAACTTTTCTAAGGTTTCACCCTGCCGGGAATCAAACCCAGGTCTCTCATTTGCAAAGCGAGTGCTCTAATCACTGAGCTACAGGACTCCATAATTATACAAACTATGAAATTATTTGTTGCTGTACCAGATTTTACAATAATTTATCATTACTTAGGCTGATTATATGAAATGGTAGTAAAACTTCACAAAAAANTTAGATATACTTACATCAGGATATTCCTTCACAGGCACAAACAGTTTCTCTTGTAACTGTAAGATAGCTCCTGAGGGCTCCGGTAGATGTATTGGCATATTTTCTACAAGGCCATTCATTGAATCAGTATACATGTCCTTTCGCACTCTGCTTATTTCTGCAAAAGAATTTAAATATTTTTTTAAATACTAAAACAAAAAGGGTTCAAAACTAAAAAGGTGTGAAACCAAAATGATCAGAAGCAAAAAGATCTTGAAAATCTTTCTAAACGCATAAAATTAACTTAATTTAACTTAAACCCAAAGATACTACAGTGAACATGTGCTCTACAAGAAGTAATGAATGCTTCCACTGTTCTAGTCCTCGCTGCAAGCTCCCAGTTTAGAATCCCATGGAAAAGAAATGCTCTGTGCAGCTGTTCCATAAACTACAAGGGGCTCAAACTTCTACTCTACATGCCTGGGGCCACATGAGAATTTGAAAGTTAACACCAAAAAAGACAGCAAGTTGTGATCTCTGATGTGGTGACAGATAAGCTGCCAATAATGATAAAAAAACAAAACATGATCTCATATAACAGAACAAGATCAATCAATTCCTCAAGGCTCAATTTACTAAAATGAGCAATACCCATGTGATAGCCAATGGGATTATGACCTACAATCCTACTGTATGCAAGGGTTGAAATATGTGAAGACTGAATAAGAATATATGTAATTATCTACAAACCAATTAGGTAAGTGTGTTATGAAAATATTTAAAGAATACAAGGCAAATCTAAAATTCAAATACATCTTCAGAGGAATAATTTACTTGAGGCATATACAGATGCTGGTTTCTCCCTGCAGGGAATCAAGGTTAGTAAAAATACATATGTCCCACGAGTCACTAAGCTCGAGTCCCTTTCTATGTGAAAGCTTCGGTTTAGAAAGCCGCAAAAGGAAAACCAAAACACAGAAAGTAAACAACAACAAAACTTCATTTGTATAACGGGTTTCATGTCAGGAGGTCATCCCAAAGAGCTGGACAGTCAGTTTTTCAGACCCAAACTGGGGATCAGGATTGGTGAGGATGGAGGGCAGATGGGAGGTGGGTAACCGAAGGCAGGGTTGAAGAGTAGGGGGCAAGGCGAAAGACTGCAGGATGGAGTTCCAGAGGGTGGGGACACTGCTATGCTGCGTTTCACCCACAAATATTCAGTCAATTCACTTTACAATATATTCTGTGAAACGCTTTGAGACATCTAGAGGATGTAAAAAGCACTGTATCAAATGCAAGGATTATTACATATATATATCTAATGTAACCAAATACACCAGCAATATTTCACAACACAATTCACCAAACTGAATGAGCAAGAACTATGCCATCAATAATACCAACTTGAACCACCAAAACCAGCACGCAAGACCTCACTTTAATGCCATGGCAGCCAAGAGGCATTTACTATTAGTCCATACTCTGTACATGGAGGAAGACAATTATACTGTTGTATCCTTTAATTCCAAATAACATGAAACCTTTTCATAAAATGTCACATTAACAAATATGTCTCCAGCCAATTCACCAAGATGGGTTATATCAACCCATAGTTGAGCCAGATATGCCAAGAAAGGTAAAACCAGCAGCCTTGTAAGAATCTTGAAAAGTAAAAGCTCTAAAGTTTATTTCATAAATATACTCATGGAACAATAATTTCTTGGGCGCAGACTTGGGTGTTGTTATGTACCAAACAACAAAGTGGTAGTTTAAGCATTCACTATTACAGCCACCAACAACAACCGAGCAGAGAAGGAAACTATGTGTTGTTGATGTCAGACAATATCGCCAAGTGGATCTTGGCGTCTGGGGAGGGGGGGGCAAGAGAAAGCAGAGAGAAGGCACAAAATCAAAGTG